AACGCTACCAAATTTCATCCCAGATCAGTTTTTGCCGACAATGAAGAGAAGCAAAAGAGTGTGGATGGGTCAAGTGGTGTCGTAGGAGGGTCGAGAACCGGGTGTGAAAGGAACTGACTACTCATGGTTGTTCCGTCTACACATTCGTTAGTTTTTTCTTTATTGTCCGGGTGATATATGGGATACTGTTAGAGCCATCACGTTCAAGTACAGGCAATAAAGATCAGGTGTTTTGTGCTTTTTTTTACTTTTACGTTTTGTTTTCCTGACATGACAAAGAGGGGCAGTGTACAGTAAGTTTATTTGTGTTACTGCATCCATCTAGTGTTGATTTAAATGCTATTGATGAATTGTGTTCTTGATATCTTCATTGATGTTGATGTATTAATAATGTCTAATGTTTATATTTACTTTATTAAGCTGATCAAATATTACTCTCTTAATGCTTTCAATGGTAGATAATTGTACATTTAACGTGTGGTATAATTATGCGCAGTGATAAGCTTTACTTTGTATTCCTTGAGGTATACTGCACCATTATTTGTCTACCCCCATAAGCACCATTATATACCTACCCCCATAAGCACCATTATATACCTACCCCCCATAAGCACCATTATATACCTACCCCCATAAGCACCATTATCTCTCCCAGTCGACATAGCCGTCTTGGTGATGACATGACTGAGGGCCGAGAATGAAGATCAATTTGTCATATTCTTTACGCCATATTCTTAAAGATTCTCACAAGAACTTTATATTCCTCGTAGATAGAAATATTATATATAGTTTACGATAGAGTCTCAAGGTAACTTCTACTCCATTTTCACTACTAATTGTATATCAGAACTTAAATGAATTAGTTATATGTGTTTCTCTATCTCAAGTTAGGGATGAGAAATATAACTTAGGAATCTCTGAAGATTTCCTGCGTCCAGATGTCCCACTGCGTGATGTACGGTGATTAATAGTGAGGCCAAAAAACTTCTATTAAATTATATCAAGCACAGCAGGATTCTCTCTCTCTCTCTCTCTCTCTCTCTCTCTCTCTCTCTCTCTCTCTCTCTCTCTCTCTCTCTCTCTCTCTCTCTCTCTCTCTCTCTCTCTCTCTCTCTCTCTCTCTCTCTCTCTCTCTCTCTCTCTCTCTCTCTCTCTCTCTCTCTCTCTCTCTCTCTCTCTCCTTTATATAGAGTGAAATGTTTAGACGTGTTCAAGGGAGATTTATGTTACGTGTCTAGTATTTTCACCACCTGCATTTTACAGAGACGTGGTCAGGAAGCTGGTGCCATATAACATACGGGGAAGCGCTGGCAGCCCTCTGAGAACTGTGTTGTAATATGCTGATATATTACCTGGGGGGCAGAATTGATCTATGTTAAAAATAAATTACCATGAATGAGGCCACGAAGCCATCTTTATTTTTCGAGTTAACAAAACGTGAACGATTTTTTTATGTATGAAATTTAGTTAAATGAAAAGATATGATGTTATGATCTTCTTATTCTTAATGTCTTATAGAGTAACTAAACTTATTCAAATGACTAGGAATAATATAATACATCACGTTATGGAAGAGTCCTAGCGTAATTTTGCCGCCATTATACTCATTTTTAGTCCCATAGACACACCATCTATGTTTCCTGTACACACACACACACACACACACACACACACACACACACACACACACACACACACACACACACACACACACACCGTCATGCCAACAGTGAATCCCTTGACGGAACTTAAGAACTAAGAACATCCCTCACCGTGATCTATAGGCTCTTACATAAGATAACATCCTTGGAGCAATCAGCTGGTAATTTTCTCCTCCATTGACATGTGGCAAGGCTCCTCACGCTATATTGCCATCTCGTGAATAGGTGGTAATGATGCCAGTGACGGTGTAGCGTCTTTGTGTAGGTAGTAAACCATCTTCACTACGAGACGTCACTTTTTAATATTTTATTGAGCTAACACCAGACGATTTTATTCACCTCAGAGGGGACCCCGTACACAAGGGGGTAAATAACGTGAGTAGTTTGGATGGTTAAAAACAAATCACCTTGAAAATGACATCTCGTTCTGTAGTAATTTGTCTCTCGATTGAATTTTCCCTCACTAACCTAACCAAACACAGCATCGATAACACTGTTGAGTTCCTGTGCTGTTGAATTAAATCTGTGATAGTCGTTACTGTTGTCTTGGTCGTGAGATTTGCAATGCATAACTTTGTATCTTCATGAAGGACATCCAATTGTAGTGAGAGTCATCCTCCTGTTTCGCATGAGTGTTTCAGAAGACTGCTCGTACAATCTTACCCTTTCATATTTCATCCATACCTTCCTCTCACTCACCTTATCATCACCGTGACACCAAATACCACTAAACATCATTTTTTTTCTCACTATCACACACAATATGTACACTATCTCACCTCATATTGTCACTATAACCAAACATATGGTCATTATCTGTCACCATATTTTCACTGTCAATTATTGTCACTCTCACACCTTATATATCTCAATTACTTACCATGTTTTTCCTCTCATTCGCTATATAGTGCCCTTATTGCTTTCCGTGTTTCCCTCCGCTTCTCCTCTCTCCCTCCCTCCTCGCTGTCTCCCCTAACCTCTCTTTCCCTCTTCTACTCTCCTCTCCATCGCTTCTCCCTTCACCATCTCCCTTCCCTCCATTCTCCTCTCCTTCCCTCCATCCCTCCCTTCACCCTCCCCTTCCCTCCTAAATGAACGGCACTAGATGTTGGTAGGTCACTGAAACTCGGAGTTAAATATGAAGATGGCTGCTCCGGCCGTCACATTCCTGGCCGCTGGGAAGACATAAAAAGGCCAGTACGGTGGTTATATCTTGGTTATATCTTGGTTATATCTTGGTTATATCTTGGTTATATCTTGGTTACACTCGGTTATACTCGGGCTTAATATAATTTCATTGACTCTCCCAGATGCAGCTTCCTATGTCTGAACAGGTACAGGTAGGCGGAAGTCAGGTAGCGAGGAAGGCGAATGTGTGTGTGTGTGTAATAATAATAATAATAATAATAATAATTAACGGTTTATTGAGAAAGTTCTGCAGCCCGAAGGCTGAAAAGATACACTAGGCAAAAATGACTTATTACATATAAAGACAAAAGCTTTCATTACTGAAAGGAGAAGGAACATGAATTGAACATACAAATTATTATAGTTTACAGTTGATGGCCCGGGCTGGTCTCTTGCCATACTGTGTGAGGACACGTAGGCCACGTAGTGTAATGACTCGTCCGGAGGTGTTGATGTGAATGACCTCTGTGGTCATGGAGACACCGGGTGGTGTGGTGTTCACGTGGTGCAGTAACTCGTCCTCGGGTGTTGATATGAAGAACCTCACGTGGTCATAGAGACACCAGGTGGTGTGGGGTGGTGTCACAGTACCTCACTCTCTGCTATGTGGTGTTGTGTTATCTCATAGTCAGGTGTAAAGCCTGTTGTACCCAGGGTGGAGTGAGTAACACCTCCTGGTCAGAAGATATTGGTTGGTTCCCAGGGGTGCCTATACCTCACTGGTGGGTCGTGGCTCTTGCTGGTACTGTCTAGTGCTGAATTCACTGGCTTAAACACTGTTCAAACACTGTTCATCACTGTTCATCACTGGTCCCACTTCTTTCCGAAACGAAATTGTCACTTTTGATTATGTTGATATCCCGATGGTGAGGATGGGTCGCGGAGAGGGACTTGGGGAATGGACCGAACATTGGCCAAGGAGCAGCGCCTGATAGGTCAAGAATGTAGTGTGTGTGTGTGTGTGTTCTAGATGGTGAACATACGTAGTAGTATTGTGAAAAAACTGATAGATCCCAAGATTTAGATGAATACATGTTTACAAAAGTTTTTTATTATTATTATTATTATTATTATTATTATTATAATCATTATTATAATCATTAATGTGAAACTAAAGTAAAAAGCTTCTAACAAACTGGTCCCAAACTGTAAGAATTGGAACTGTTTTGGTATAAGCATTTGAAAGTTGATTTTGACTCGCTAATCATACAAGAATCGTATTTGACTTTTGAGACTTGATTTTTCTTTATCAATAAGGCTGTCAAAATCCAAAATGGCTGTTTTCTTCTATATTTCCCATATTTCTGTCACATTTCAGTGCTGTTAGTGACTTGTGTTGAGGTTTGTCCCTCCTAACAATGAGATTACAGGGGTGGAATGAATTATTTACAATGTTAAAGTATTTCGGAGTTAAAATAGCGGAAAAAATAAAAAAGGAGGAATATTTTAAAAAGTTCTTCGATTTCCGTTTAGATTATTGTTAATAGATAGCATTTTTTTTTTTACAAACTCAACAGATAGACTATGTCACAGGCTGTTAAACTGGTCAAAATAGAGCTGTGTCACGCCTACACCTCTATATACACTATCAGTAAAAGTCTTATGTTATCATCGTTGCTTCATCACTGCTCTAACACAACCCAAAGCCAACCACTAACCCTTAGAGATAGGAAGTGAACACTGTTATCCGCTCGGCTGGCGCACTGTACAAACTTAAATAACCAACTAAACACAACATCACCTAAACTTAGCCTAATAAAAGTCAATTTATATCAAAGTCTAAATGATCTTGATATATTTACCATCACCCAGGGAATTAGAAGAAAAAATTATATAAGGCCTTTCTTTATTTTGCCTTCACAACAGCACAACAAAATAAACTTTTTTCAGCTACTTGTATGAAGTGTTTCGTGTTGGTGTTGTCTTCACACACTGTGGGAAAAAATAGTAGTTGGCGCCTGGTTCATGTGAGAAAGTGTGGTCGTGTTATGATCAGTGTGAGAGAAACATGTCCTTGGGTTCTTATTAGTGTGAAAAATGTCCTTATATTATTGTCAGCTTTGAAAAAAATGAGAGAGAGAGAGAGAACAGTTAAAGCTATAAATAAATAGTGAAACTGGAAGAGAGAAAAGAAGACTGAGTTTTATACATTGACAAGGAATCTCTCTCTCTCTCTCTCTCTCTCTCTCTCTCTCTCTCTCTCTCTCTCTCTCTCTCTCTCTCCTTACGCCCACCAAACGCGATACATTTACCAGAGAAGAAAATGATAACAGTCTCAAAGGTCATACTTCAGAGGTTGCAGATAAGGTCAGAGATCACGTCATCTTCAAGGGTCACAACTATTACAGGTCATATTCAAGGGTCATTGTTACGCTTCAGGTCATCATCAAGGTCAAAGGTCATCTTCAGGAGCCGTTGGGGCGCTGGCCATGGGAGGGATATGAGACACGTGATCGATTGTGACCTTAATTGACCTGGGTCCTTCCTGTGAGGTCACTATCGTCCCGTCAGGAAGAGAGGGAGGTTGTAGTTGTGGTTGTTGTTGTGAGTATGGTGGTGGTTTCTCTAAGCTGGGTAATGGGTGTTGTAGGTAAGGTGGTGGTTGTTGTTGTTGGTAAGATGGTGGTTGATGTTGCTGGTAAGATGGTGGTTGCTGTAGGGAGTATAGTTGTTGCTCTGGTTGTTGTAGGTACGATGGTTGTTGCTGCAGGAAGGATATTGGTTGCTGTAGGGGATATAGTTGTTGTTGTGATTGCTGTGATTGTGGCCCCTGGAACTGAACTTGCTGTGGATACGATTGCTGTGTTTGGTGTGGGCCTGATAACTGTTGTTGCTGTGGTTGTTGACTCACTTGGCTTAGGTTGACATGGGAGTGGTGGTTGGCATGGTTGTAGTAGTGGGAGAAACAACACACCAGTACCCCGGCCAAGGTAAACACTGTCAACAGAAGAGAAATTTTTAGTGAAACCTCCATTTAACGGCCTATATAGAGAGGAGAGTCCGCTATATCGAGGGTCCGTTACTTGTGAAACCTCCAGCTAACGAACTATGTAGAGAGGAGAGTCCGTTATATCGAGGGTCCGTTACATGTGAAACCTCCAGCTAACGAACTATGTAGAGAGGAGAGTCCGCTATATCGAGGGTCCGTTACATGTGAAACCTCCAGCTAACGAACTATGTAGAGAGGAGAGTCCGCTATATCGAGGGTCCGTTACATGTGAAACCTCCAGCTAACGAACTATGTAGAGAGGAGAGTCCGCTATATCGAGGATCCGTTACATGTGAAACCTCCATCTAACGAACTATATAGAGAGGAGAGTCCGCTATATCGAGGGTCCGTTACATGTGAAACCTCCATTTAACGGCCTATATAGAGAGGAAAGTCCTTTATATCGAGGGTCCGTTAGATATGAAACCTCCATCTAACGGCCTATATAGAGAGGAAAGTCCGCTATATCGAGGGTCCGTTAGATGTGAAACCTCCATCTAACGAACTATATAGAGAGGAAAGTCCGCTATGTCGAGGGTCCGTTAGATGTGAAACCTCCATCTAACGAACTATATAGAGAGAGGAGTCCGTTATGTCGAGTGTCCGTTAAATAATTACTATAGGCCTATGGAGAGACAAGTCCGTTATGTGGATGTTTTACTGTATATTTTGTTTATGTTATCGATAAATATTAATGATAGTCATTTGTTTGGTTCATTAGACTTGTTAACAATAAGAGAATAATTTATGTTCTTCGTCTTAATTGCAAAAAAATAACTAAAACAGATAAGAATTTTCTGTTATGTATTTTAGATAATTTGTTGTTGATTGAACTTAATTTAATAACATGATAACAGTAGACATGATAAGTGAATAGGATATAATGACAAAATAATAACCAGGTATAACAAAAGATAACAGGATAACAATAACACCAACCTGATACAAGAATGTTCTCGTTTTCTGTCAAATAACACAAATAACAAAAGATAACACAAAAATAACTACTGAATAACATCCCAAAAACACAATAACAAATTAATAAAAAACATTATATTAAATTCGTCCACAAACCCTCGACTTACCTCCAGAGGCCAAGCATAGAACACCACCGATCAGGAAGCCTTCACCATCATCACCATCAAAGTCACCATCAAAGTCACCATCATCATCATCATCTCCATCTTGGTAAGTGTTGGAGATCACCAGGAGAACCGCACCAGCCAATAAGAGTAGTGAACTCAAACAAGCTACCACTATTCCAGCGTGACTCAGGTATGTTCTCCATATACTGTTGCTCTGATGGTGGTAGATGGTGGTGGTAGTAGTAGTGGTTGGTGAAATGATAGGTGGTCATGGTTGTTAAAGTGGAAGGTGGTGGTGGTGGTGGTGGAATGGTGGTAGTAGTGGTAGTAGAAGTTAGTGATGGTTGTAGATGTGGTAGTGTTGGTGGTAGTAGTGGTAATGGTTGCTGAATTAGTAAGTGGTAGTAGTAGTAGTAGTAGTAGTAGTGACCATAAAGATGTACAAATAATAATATTGATAATGTTGGTATAATTATTATTATTATTATTATTATTATTATTATTATTATTATTATTATTATTATTATTATTATTATTATTATTATTATTATTATTATTATTATTATTATTATTATTATTGTTATTGTTATTATTATTATTATTATTATTATTATTATTATTATTATTATTATTATTATTATTATTATTATTATTATTATTGTTATTATTATTATTATTATTATTATTATTATTATTATTATTATTATTATTATTATTATTATTATTATTATTATTATTATTATTATTATTATTATTATTATTATTATTATTATTATTATTACCTTCATGACCCTGTAGACACAACTAGCAGCTCCAGGGTGGATGAATCACACGGTCACCCTGAGAGAGAGAAGCAGTGAGTTAGTTGTTTACTGAAGGACCCTCGAGTCTGTTGAGGACAGTAATGTAACTCACTCTTGAAGATGTTTCCTCGACATAGTGACATAAACTCTCCCGTCAATCACTACCATCACTATCATTCAATCACCGTTATTGCTTTACAAGAGGTATTCTAGTATTCATAGCAAAATTACGCATCGAGATATCCATGTGGTTCAGCCCCGCGTTACCCATTCGTCGCGCGTCCGTCCATTCCCTAGACCTAGATACTGTACAAGCTGGCCAGGTGATGTGGCCAGCTTGGTGATCAAAGACACTTATTGTCTAGCTAGCAGAGCTTTACCTCTGTCGTAGAGTGTGAGCAGTGGAGTAGCTCAGGCCTCGAGTCCTCCTCCAAGACGGTGTAATACTCGGACTTTGGTTTTCAAAGTGCATTAAGTCAGGAGGTGAACCTTTAAGTACAGTTATTTAGTGAGGCCCTTTAACTATAACTAGTCATCTCCGGCTGATAGTGTGTTGTGTTTTATATTAATTCATACAGCAACTAACACACACACACACACACACACACACACACACACACACACACACACACACACGTAATTAGCACCCAAATTACTAACCTATCACGAGAAAATCTAAATGAACAGGACAGACACATCAACATCCTCAATTCACAATGAGCCAGACGAGGTAAACACGACTAATTGGTAAGAAAAATATGTATCCCATTCTGTCCATAACAAAGGCTTCAACAGCGTTAATGATTATTCTCCATAACATAACTCTATAAAACACACCTCATACGTTAACTAGCGCCATCTGTGAGTCACCACCAACACGAGACTCATCTTTCCTGTAAAATAATTATCATAATTGAGTCTCTCTTTGTATCATCCACTGTACACTGATTGTGATAACTGTAGAAAACTGTTTGGCGAGTTAGGTGTACAGATATAATGATAAGAGACAGGTAACTTTGAACACACACACACACACACACACTACTGACTATAACCTGAAAAGCAAGAAGGTGACATTTCTCGGTGACCCATAACCTTGATTTTCCCCCTTCGTTGACCAGAGGTGTAAACTTAGTCAAAGATTGGACGATAATTGTTGACCTTACACTGTTGACCCTCCTGATGACCTCTGACCTTAATCTTAACTGGTCATTGGGTTAAGAAAATCAGGGATGAAGTGGTTGTTGGAGAAAGATAATCACTCTTTTGTAAACAATTTCATATAAACTTGGAATAAATCGGTTGAAGGAAACCATAATTAACACAGACGAGAAATAACAATATCACGCCTTAAAACAGAGTTGTGTAAGTAACATATCCTCAATACAACCTTAACATCTTAGTTAATGTGGTATACGATATATACTGCACTATCTTATACACACTGATATAACAATGGATCAGACTACAGTAGTATATAATAGCACTCGATAATATATGATGTGGTTTGGTATTATATATATGTAACTGAGAATACCTTAGCGATACGATTTGGAATTAATTATAATGGTGACCTTAACCTACAATGACCTTATCTGACCTCTAATGCTCCAACGATGACCTGTAATGATCTTTAATGACCCCTGATAACCTGTTGATAACCTACACTACCCATAGCGACCTTATGATAATATTTAATATCCCTAATGACCTGTTTGATGACTTTTAATGACATTTTAGAGTCCTGTCATTTTCAGTAGTGACCTGTGATGACCTGATACACTTATTCTGTTTGGTTTCTACTGAATGATTTTTATAACATTTCTTGTATATATCTCACCGCTATGACAAGTACCGGTAACTCTTCGTTGTAACAAGCTTCTGTAACACTCTTGTAATACTCTGCAGTGGCACTCTTATATCACTTCGCTGTATCGTTCTTGTAACAACTTACTGTAATAGACTTCAATAACACTTCTCTGTAACAGGTCTCTATAACACTGTGCTGTAATAGTCTCGTATAACACCTCGCTCGCTACACCCGGCTATCGTATCACTCCGTAGTAACGATAGCTGACAGTTTTCGTGTTGGAAAGGCCACATCTGGCTCTCGGGTCATATGTGATCCCTATCGTCGTTAATGCTGATAACAGACTGATAACATCATTTCCCTCCCTTATAACTGACAAAGATAACACCTCCAGGCTTCTAACAGTGATTTACTACCTAATATTCAGGTTCAGTGAGTCATAAACACACACACACACACACGTAATTAGCACCCAAATCTACCTGTATTAATTAACCTCAAAATAGTTTACAAGCTTGCAGTGGGAATCTAATCGACCATAGCTTAAATACCTTAGAAAATTCGACAAAAACTTTCCATCCACACTTTTGCTGGATCACTCTCTCGGTCACAGAGGTATTTTTTTATGACCTCATTAGCACAGGTCAAAGGTTAAGATTCAGGTGTTTGAAATGATGGTGTAGGTTGTTAATTTATGAAAGTTCCCTCTTTCCTGATTTTTCGTGAATGTGATATTACTTGGTGATTCCCCTCCCTCTCCTCCCACTCCGTCGCTCCCCTCCCTCTCCTCCCACTCCGTCGCTCCCATCCCCTCTCTCCCATTTTACCCATCCCTCCCCTTCTCTTTTCTCTCCCTCTGCCGCCGTTCCCAACCCCCTCTTCTCCCTCCCTCCCCTTCTCTCTTCTCCCTCTTTCCCCTTCTCCTCCCCCCACCTTCCTCCCCTTGCCTCCTCCTCTTCCCTCTCCCCTCGCCTCTCTCTCCCTCTCCCTGTCCTTCTCCCCTCCCCCCCAAGAGAAAATGAGGGAGGGGGGAGGGGGGGGTGGGGTTCTGGACACAATACCAGGTAGTAGTGAATGGCGGCAGTGGCGGGAAAGAGGGAGGAATGTTGAGGAGGTAGGGAGAGAAGAGATGGAAGAGAAAGGGAGAGGAGGAGGAAATGAGAGAAAGAACGGGAAAAATAGGGTAGAAAGACAGAGAGAAAGAGACAGACAGACAAACAAGGAGAGCTAGAGAGAGAGAGAGAATCAGACAGAGAGACAGACAGAGCGGGTTGGTCACCATGCACCATAATACCCCAACTTCTAAATAAAACTCAAACTCAAGTTCAACCACCCATGACCTAAACAACTGAGTGAGACCATCAGTAGGGTCGTTAACTTCACTTAACTACCTCATTCAATCTCTGCCTGGCCAACTGATCTCATGGGAGTACCTTCGTTATGTACTGTCTTCGTTAGGGTCAGTATTCATAAGTTTCACCGAGGCTGCCATGAGTTAGTTAATGAATAAAGTCATGAATGGGGTAGTAATGTCTCTCTCTCTCTCTCTCTCTCTCTCTCTCTCTCTCTCTCTCTCTCTCACGTATCATTTGTAGACACCATCAAATTTTACTTCACTTATGAATAAAAAAAATAATAACCGAAAATTTAATAACTTATAACTCACATAACTAATTAATAACTAATTACTTGTGTAATTAATCAAATAACTGAAACTTATATGAATAACTTGATGACTAAATAACTGATATGGTAAAAACAAAATATAATTAACATAAAGAATTTATTGTATTATATTTGATAACTAATAAATTACAACCCTAATGTTATTATAACTAATTTTAACAACTAGTAACTAAATTTACAACTAATTAAGTAACTAACACAATAAAAATAACTTAAGTAACTGATTTACAAACTTACATAAACAACCTCAATAACTAATAATTAAACTTACACTATAAAATTTAACTAAATAATTAATAAACTTTTAATAACTAAAAATTAAACTAACACGATTAAATTCAACTTAACTAATTAACACACTTTAATAACTCAGCCTTAATAACTAATAACACCACACGAGGCACTGAGACTTAATTCTCATAAGGGCGGTGATCTGACCTTAATCTTACGACCAATAACCTTTATCTCTTAAATCCCTACTGAAGATTAAGGGAGATTACCTAAAGTATGGTATAAGAAAAGGTCTGTTGGCTGCTTGACCTGGTAACACTTTCAGGGGTGGTAATGCTGTTTTTGGTGGTTGGTTGTGGTGGTAACATTGTTTTGAGGGGGTGGTTGGTGGTTGGTTGTGGTGGTAACATTGTTTTGAGGGGGTGGTTGGTGGTTGGTTGTGGTGGTAACATTGTTTTGAGGGGGTGGTTGGTGGTTAGTTGTGTTGGTAATACTGTTTCAGAGGTTTACGTGGACAATTTAGAGGAAAAGAGAAAGAGGTAGGGAGAAAGGGAAGGGACGATGAAAGAAATGGATGGAAGAGAGAGGGTAGAAGAAAGGATAGGAGGAATAGAGAGGGAAGGAGAGATAAAGAGAGGAAGTAAGGAGAAAGGAGTAGAAAAGAAGAGGAACAAACGGAAGAGAGAGAGAGAGAGAGATAGGTAGTAAGTTATAAAGATAGAGAGGTAGAGATAGAGAGGGGGAGAGGTGATAGTAGTCTCTCTCTCTCTCTCCTCTCTCTCTCTCTCTCTCTCCTCTCTCCTCTCTCTCTCTCTCCTAAAATCTCTATCCCAGTGACAATAAGTGTGAGATTTTCCCACCAATTAGGCTGTGTTGCGCCCATTAAGTCACGAATTTCGACCCTATATCAGTGAGAGATTTTTATGGCCCCAGAATTATTTCCCCAGGACACCAAGGCGAGTAAAATAGAGAGATAAATGAGATAAAAGAAAGATGAGATAGAGAGAGAGAGAGAGAGGCATACGAGGATGCAGCATTTTAGGTGTCTGCATTAACTTTCGACGGCAGGAGCAAAGCAGCAGACAGCAGAGAGGACGGGTCTGCTTCAACCTCTGCTGTGATGCCTTACAGACACACACAGAGCAGAGTCACAGGCACTGGCACTGAAGCTGGATGTGTGTGCCTCAACTTTGGTCGCGTCAGGAGAGTGTTTAAAGCACTTTACCTGTTCCCGGCCACCACTCCACCTCTCTCGTTCACACCTGAGATACTGTACCTGCTCTCTCTCTCTCTCTCTCTCTCTCTCTCTCTCTCTCTCTCTCTCTCTCTCTCCTCTAACAACTTCCCGTCTCCTTCCCTCCCTCCCACACACACACACACACAACTCCCTGCCTTTTCCCTCCCTTCCCCTCCTCTCCCTCTCCCCATCTCTCCCTCTCTCTCTCTTACTCTCTCTATCAGCCTGTACTCTGTTTATCCTACTCTGTTACCTTAGCGAGCTGTGTGTACGCAAACATTTGGACTCACTGTGATTTTTTAGCTTTATTTTCTGCTATCCTCACCCCTAACGCTGTATTTATCTCTATATAACATTTATCCAGCACTTTTTTTTTGGCTCAGGTGAATTCTTTTTTCTTTTTAATAAATTTTTCTACTTTGATAAAAAAAATTAGTGTTTTAGTTTGATAATAATGATGATGGTAGTAATGGAATTTATAATAATAATAATAATAATAAAAATAAAAATAATAATAATAATCCCCCTGTAGGAAATATACCTTAAGTCACCTCATTAAGTGAAGAATCAGCCAAGGTGACCTCATCATGGCGACCCCTCCACTCTTTACCAATCCTCTCTGGGGGACAACACCTCTTAAATTCTATCATCCAACGTCATCTCTCTCTTCCCTTACCTTCATTACCACCCATAAACATCACCCATTATCCCATCATCCGGAAATAACATGATCGAAGTATCTCATTTTTTTTTTTTTGTTTTTGTTTTTATTTGTTTGTTTTGTTTATTTATTTGTCTTTGTTTGTTTTTGTCGGTTTTTGCTTTTATTTGTTTATATGTTTTTGTTTGTTTCTTAGTTGTTTTTGTTTGTGTTTTGCGGCTACTAGAACCCCTGGGAGTAAAGTAAACAACAACAACAACAACAGGTTTACCCCCTTATGATATAGTTTTTATTAGACTTTATTATTTTTTTTTCTATCATTATAATTATGTCATCTTAATCATTATCCTGTAGTAACTTATTTCCCTATTTCTCTCTTATTGTTTTCCTTGGGTTATTTCCTTATTTGTATCTCATTGTTTCCTCGGATTATTTCCCTATTTCTCTCTCATTGTTTCCTCGGGTTATTTCCCTATTTCTCTCTCATTGTTTCCTCGGGTTATTTCCCTACTTCAACACTATGTATCTGACTTTCTTTTATTTCAGGAAACTACATCGAGTAAATTATTTCCCCGGATAAGTCCATCTATTAATTACTTAAGGAAATAGTACTGATCTATTTACAAGATTTCCTCTGATTCTAAATTTTTCACTTAAACTCATTCAATCTATTTTAACTAAACTCAAAGTCTCCTACAGTACAAATGTTTCTATATGTAGCTGCACAAGTTAGTTATTTCACCCTCAAATAAGTTAGCTTTCTATCCTGTCAATATTTGGTGGTCTATATACAGGAACTACCCCTATGATTTGATTCCCTCCGCCTTCGTTACCTTCGTTCAGTTCTGCCTAGGCTGTTTCTGTGTCGTCTCAGATTTAATTTCTGTTCTGGTGCAACATTTCATATTTTCTCTGACAAAGACTGCTTCCCCTATTCCTTCCCTGATTTTTTATGTCAGTATGAAATGATTTATGACTCCCTAAGTTGATATTCAGTAAATTGCTCACGTGTGTCTATATAAAGTCATGTTTCTGTAAATTAATATACATATCTGTTCTTTTTATACACACAAGTGAGCTTATTTATTTCAAATTATATTTAATAATTTGGGTATTGAAATAGTAAAAATTTATGTTATTCTTACTAAGCTGTCCCGCTTTTCTTACTTTAAGCTTTATAATTTTTTTATTTTGTCGTTCCTATGTATATTTCTTATTACCTCAGTGTTACACCTCTGTCATATAACTCTAGGGACCGTCACGCCCTAGCAACTACTGCCTCAAGCGAGCTGGCCATCTTTGCAACCCCGACTCTTAACACAGTTCGCGTCTGCCATATAATTTACAGTATTTAATAACATTTTATAAATTGTTATTATTATTATTAGTGTTGTTGTTGTTATTTTTATTATTATTATTATCTTTATTGTTGTTATTGTTATAATTTTCATTAATATTATCGGCTGTTCTGTCTTCCTGGT